AGGGTCCTGCTCATCTCGACTATCCCATATCGGAAGTCTATCGCGGACCACTCTATAGTACAGATCGAGCTAACGAATTGTTAACTCAGCCCCTTAGTCATCATGTGAGTGTCTACCATAGCGGATTCTCAGATGGATACTCAAGAACTTTGGAGGAGACTGAAATTAAGAAGGAAGCAAGGCGTTCAAAAGAAAGTGCACTTGCAAGACCTTACAGTGAAGTCGGTGCTCTGTGGAGGCAGCCATCACTAGAAACATACCAGCCTAGTGTAGAAAGACAAGTAGATGAAGGTCGCGGCAAAGTGGACCTTGATATCCAGCTAAAAGTAAAATCCCAAGATACTCACGAGGACGCCAAAGTATTCGAAAATGGTCAAGCAAAAGTGAATGAGGAGCTCCCTGTATTTTTGAGCGCAGACACTTTGGAGAGAGATCAAAAACCCGTCGGCTTTTCTGTCTCGATAAGCGCTCGACAACCAGATGACCGCACAACTTCTGAGCTATTCTCTTCTCTTTCGAGAGAATCGTCGTCGGATAAGCGGTACTATCTACGAGATCAATCGACTAGAAATGAGCGCAGTCTTAAACATCGGCTCTCTCCCCACACCTGGACAACAGTTAAGGAGCGCACGGAAGTGACTTATGTGCGTAAACTTCACATAGAACGATCACTGAGTCCGAGAGCTCGTTCACCACCACGGTCTGGCACAATCAAGAGAGTTCCATACCAGCCAGCAGCTGCCACCGCAGCGGAACGTGGTTACTCCTGCCGATCCAGCAACTTCGATGAACGAGTCTTAGTCCACCATCCTATTTATCCACCAAACCAATCCCTATATCGCAATGGAGGTACTTATGGTAACGGCGAATCACGCAACGGACGTTCTCGTACGTATAGTCCGGTGCGTGAGGTTGCCGCCTTTGACCGAACGGAATGGATTGAGAAACATCCCAGTTACATACCGCCAAATCGCCGAGCTGATGAGATCTTCACCGTGGGAACTCCATTCATCATGGGTCATGTGGAACGTGACGATAACGGTTGCGCCTATCTGAGATACCAAAGCAGTGGGCTGCAGGAGCGTCCCCCGTTGAAAGATCGCATAGAGGACCTGCCGATGATCGAAGAGGGAGCCATTGAATGTCGCCGTGCCACAATAAGGGCTGGACTGCGTGATATGGACACTGTGGGCTTGGTTCAAGATGAGGAGGAACTCGAGCGACGACGACGTCCACTACGCCGAGCACGTCAACGCATGCGCAACTACTGCACTATGCTTTAAACAGAAACTAAAACCTTGCTTTCAATGCTGTTTATACCCGAAATCGTCTTTGCATGTCACCGTTATAGTAATCGACCAGTTTCAATGAATCTGGGACGAACGAAGACTTTCTCAAAGTTGAAACGAAAATTGCTTATGCTGGTATTGCTTTCGCTACTTGTAGCAATGCCATTATCTCCATGTCAGATGATTGTAGTTTTTAGTAACACATAGACTATGCTATTCTCATTAAGGGTTGTTTCCCAACACCATGCACACCGGGTAATCTCATATATCCAGCTTTCATTAGATGCATGCTCGTTATTGCATATTGTTTTTTT